CGCCGGGAGAGGTGGCCCCGCAGGGCGGGCAGCGCCGAGTGCCGGGGGCGCCGGCGATGATGTGGTTATGGGGAAGACCCAGCGACCGGGCTGGGGGCGCTGCCCCATCCCGCTTCTTTGCTTTCGGTTTCGAAGCGGCTGCCCCGGCTCGAGAGCTAGCGACTGATTAGATGGTGCGTCCCGGCTTGGATTCCCTGCGGGGGATGGGCGCATAGGGGGGCGTGTTGGGGAAGGGGTGCATGTTGGCAACTTTCCCCGCTTGAAACAAAGGCGCATCGGGGAGATGTGAGGGGAAGGGGGCCAGCCTGCGATCTCCGGCAGCGGAAGGTTGGCACCCCGCTTCCTCCGGGCAGAGAGCAGCCCCGAGGCCGCCTCGGGAGGGCGAAGGGGGGCGCCAGTCTGGGTGGAAGCTAGGGAGTCAGGGCTTGGGAGTGGGAACCACAGACCTTCCTGAGTTTGAAGCTGAGGACTTTCCAGAAGGGAAGGGAACCGTGCCAAGATGACCCTGCTGCCTTCTCTCCGGGGTGCATGGAAAAATTAGGTGATGGTGCACTGCACTCCCTGGGGCCCAACCTAGCCCCCTGGCTGCCAGCTCTTCATCTGTCCTAGCTGATCTCGGGCCCTCAGCGGGAGATGTAGGGCTGGGCTGGGGACCATTACATCCCTGTTCACAGGCAAGGGTAGGGAGACATTGGCCTCTTTCCCAGGTGTCTTCCTTTTCTTCTTTCTATGCTCGGTCAGAAACTGACTCCTTCCTTTCCTTCCCAGAATTGTCTCCCTCTTTCTCTGCGGTTTTCTTGGGATGTTTGGTTGCCTCAGGTACAGAGCCTAGGTGGCAGGTTTTTCGGATGTCAGTTCATGCCCTCCCAAGAGGAAAAGAGCAGGACCCGGAGGATCTGAGCCAGTGTACCCTTGGGGGCTCTTCTTATCAATTCTCTTGTGTTCTCAGCACTTAGTAACAAATTAGCTGTTCCTCTGGCTTTCAGACTTGGGTCATCAGGAGGCCTGGGTTCTCCAGGAAGAGAGGTCAAGGGAGGGCTGAATGGCCTGCTGGAGGGTGGTACAGTGTCTTTCTCTCTAGAAAACAAATGGGCCAAGTTCCAGGTTCCTGGTCCCCGACCTTGTGTCTCCAGGAATAAGGTGCCTCCAGCTCCAAGCAGCTTGCATATGATCACCGACTTCCATTCTGTGGCAGGAACGCCCATTGCCTTTCTTTCTCTTAGAAAGAATATCTCTTTTGAGAGTAGGGTTCCGCCCCCCCCCCCACACCCCCTGTTTGCAAGGCAGATCTACATCTGCTTGCCTGTGAAGACAGAAGGTACTGGGGCGGGGGTGGGGGTGGGGTAGCTGGACTGCTGGGTGACTCTCCTCCCTGTTCCTGTGAATGAGCTAATGATACAAGCAGTGGGGCCCCAAGTGGGCCCCGGGGACACCTTGCTCTACAGGAAGGGGAGGGTGGGCTGAGATGAGGCTTGGCCTTCCTCCCCAAGGCTTTGTATTTGGGGACAGAGATGAGTAACTGGGAAGACAATGGGGGCTGGACCAACTTACTTATCTGGTCCTTGGAGGGAAATGACAACCTGATTTAGTGTTGACTTTGGCACTTAAAGGTACAGGAGTGAAAGAGGTTCCAGACCGCTAAGGGGTAGCAGGAGAAAAAGAAGACCCCTGAGCTATTTAGATCTGTGGTCCTAGAACTTGTGGCTGAAGTCAGATGCAGGTGTTTGAGCAGAGAGCACCACCAGCCCCACTTCTGTAGGGCCCTTTCCCCTCTAAATGGGCAGGGTTGTTATCACTCAGCCCCCACTGGGCTTGTACCAAGCTGTGTATTCAGAGCTGAGCATAATGATCTGGAGGCCTGACCTCCCTACCCCCAATGGTGAGAAAAGGGGATTTTCCACGGATTGTTCCTCAAATGTACTGACTGTAAGATGGGAAAATGATACTCCCTCTGATTCTCTCTTTTAAAGTGATGAGGCATGAATTTTTACACTTATAAAGTGATTTAAGAGCCTTAAGTCCTAGAATAAAAGGTATTAAATGAATTAGGGAGCCTTATAGTATGTTTATTTCACTTGTATCGGATTTACGTGTTGTTTCTAAAGGGAAAGGTGTCATTTTGCGAGAAAGGGCTAAATTACAGCATTAGCGATAGGAGAAGCTCAGTGTTGGTTTTAAAAGTATAGTTTTTAATCAGAAAAGCACTTGCTGCAGCACGGGGGCAGCAAGTGTTTTTCGGTCTGCCTCTGCTCTCCAGATGTCTTATAGCTCCTTCCTAGTAGGAGTTTGCTCTGATACAGTGTCCGGTCTGGATATCAGTGATGGTCACCTTCCGAGCTCTGAGAAAGGTCTCTGACGTTGGGAACACTGATGTTATAAGCTGAGACCTGGACGAAGGCAGTAAAGTGAAGCTGCTTGGTCCTATCAGCAGCCATATCAGATCTGGCTGTCCTTGAGTGAAGGAAAATCTAACCCTCATACAGCCTGGCTGTTTTCAAATTTGTATCCCTCTCATTCCGCCTCCTCCACTCACCCCCAATTTACAGTTTGGGTTTTATTTTTTCATTGCAGGAACATTCTTTTTAAGGTGTGGATAATTTCTGACTTGGCAAACTCTCAGTTCCCTTTGTGGCAACACCTGGCCACGGAGGGAATGTAGGAAGAGATTCTGATATTCTGAGCAGGAAGAAATTCAGCCTTTCTGGTCAGGTCTTGCGCTTACTCTACCACCACCTCTCAGAAATCAGAGGCTTTGTCTTTGAAAAGTAAAGTGTAAGCTAATTTCTGGGGAAGGGGTAAGAGATGGCATTTTTGGTTCTGATTTCCCTTGAGGGAAACTGAGTCACATAGCGAGGTAGAACACTGGCTACTGTTTGTATGAATGTCTTTGTTGGGGAAGTTTTCCCTTCCTGGGATTTAAGAGTGTTTAGATTCAAGAGACCCAGGGGTTATACTTTTTCGTTATGAGATAAAGATGCACTGATAGAATTTAGGCTCCCATGTGCTTGGTTTCAGATGTACATTTGCCTCAGACTTTGAGCTGTGGGATGCTCCATGCTGTTGTGCTTCAAGGAAAACGAAGTGGTTTTCACCCCTGCAACTCACATCCATAGATAGAACCGAGGCCGAATAAGTAATCTATCACGTTCCCAGATAAAAAGGATGGCCTGCTTCCTTCCCTTTGCCCGTATCCATCCTGTAGGTGTGAACCCCCACTCTTCTCTGCCCTAAAACTGTCCTCGTGTTCATTTTAACATCAGTTTTTCTCTGTATAAATTCAGTGGGATCGAGGTCACGGAATGATATTGGCTTTCTGCTCCTGCGAAGGATGGTTCTGAAAGGTAACTTTCCATCCTCCGCTGGTGCTGGTGCTTCTACCTTTGTGGCTGGTCGTAATCCAGTGTGGCAATTCGAGGACTAACCAAAGTCATTGCTGATTTCTGTTTCTGAACATCCAGCTCCCCATTTTCCTTTAATATGCTGGCTCCCCAACAGGGAGTCTGATATGTTTTCAAGGCCGTTGGCTCCCAATGTGGCTGGTATTGTAGAAGGGACAGCATCCTTGAAATTAAGGTACACAGTCTACACAGGCAGGATTTGGGTCCTCAGATTGCTCCTTCCTGTTGCTCAATCCTCTAGAAGCATGATGGTTTTAAAAAAAAATAAGATTTGCATTGTCAAATCCTAATTTAATGTCGGGAGATCTAATAGATAAGGGGGCCTAATCAGAGAGTGCACTTTCTGCCATTCCTTTCCACTCCGGAAGCCCTGCTTTCAGAACGCACTGGATTAGCCATTTCTGACTGCTCCTGCAGTTGGACTTGAATGACGAATGCCTTCTAGCTGGTTCATTCATTCATTGTTTCCTTTCAGTTTTTAAGAGGCACCCCATCACATGAGTTTCCGCAATGGTCCATTTCCATCAGAAAGGTCACTTACCCTGAGTTTTCGTAAGGCCTTGACACCAGCCCCGAGGAGCTAGGGAAGCCAGCCAAGAAGGAGATTGAAGGGCCACAAAGAGAGGATTCTTTTCTGGGCTTCTGAGTGGTGATTCATGCTTCAAGATAAAATGTGCTTCCTGGGGCTCCATGGTTTCATTGCTTGTACCGTCAGTGGAGGGAGAGGCCCTGGTGCAGCAAGAAGCCCACCTTATAGACTATAACTGCCATCCTTTGGAGCAATGGTGAGGACCTATTTTTAGCCAACCCTAGTCTTCTTTTTCATAACTGTCTTTGGCCAGACATTATTTTAGTCCCTAGTCTCTAGGACCCCCCTCCCTCTCATTCCCAATCAAAAATGCCTTTCCAAAGGTAGGAATAAGGTAGCCAAGGAATTGGGATTACTTTCATCTTCCATCTTAAATATGGACAAGAAATATTGTCACCACTGGGCAGCATAGGCAAGCAGCAGCTCCAGATTTTTGTTTTGTAATTATGTTTTTGCCTGCCGTAAAAAAGTAAATGACCTTCCTATGCTAATCTGTGGATGCCTTAAAGCTTTCATGTACCCTGCATGGTTTCTAGCACATGGTGACTGCTTATTAAATCATCAACTGTGGTACTTGGATCTGATCAGATACCCAGATTTCGAGGTCATTGGGCGATGATGCTGTTTGCATAGGAGCTGATGGTTGGCCAAAGCTGAAATCAGGAAATCTTGGATCCATTCCTGACTCACTGTGTGACCCTGGACAACCCATTTTGGCCCTCTATGACCTAATTCCACAAATGGAGCTTCAGCTGTCTTTAGTGATCATAACAATAATAACAATGATGGCAACCATTGTTAAATAGTCTATCTCTTCTCAAAGCAATGAGATAGCTACTATTAATTATCCCCATTTTACAGCTGGAAAACTGAGGTTCTGAAAGATAAAGCGATTGCACATGTCACACAGCTAGTAAGTGTCCATATTGGTATTTGAACTGAAATCTGTCTGATTCTATTGTGTTCAATGGATTGCAAGATAGAACAAATGTTGGGGAGAAGGTAAATGTGGAGTTAGTGCTAGTTAAGGTATAAGAAGGAGAGCTGATGTGGATTAAACACAGGTAGTTAAAAGGAGGTGTGAGACCAGATTTTTATTTGAAAAACATCCCAGTGAATGTTTGAGAAGAAGAGATTGGTACCCTCCATCGGGAAGTAGACCAGATGGCCTGGGAGTTACTGCTAG